TTTTGCTACTTAAATTTAGCCAAAAAGTGCTTTAAAAATATTTGTTTTATTTTTGTGTGTATGTGTGTTTGCTTGTGTGTTAGTGCACCATGTATACTGGTGGCATAGTGGTGAGCTGCCAGGTGGGTGCTGGGTGCTAAGTCTGGGTCCTCTGCAAGAGCAGCCAGTGCTCTCAATGACGGAGCCAGCTCTCCAGCTCAAGGTCTTCCTTCCAATGTCTTCCCTTTCTCAGTGAGATTCTGCTCCGGGCACTCCTCCCAGCTCTGATAGCACAGGAGCATCACCGATGACTTCAAAGAAAGTCTTTGTTCAGAGACAAAGGGGAAATTGTGACCCACATTCCCTGATGAAGGCTGTGGAGACGGAGACCCCAGTGGTTCCTGTGCATATCACCTATCTGTCCACTAGGGAAGCAATCTCTTCAGCCTTGACTCCTGCCAGGATTCTGGTGGGTTTTCAGTCTTAGGTGCACTCCCTCTCTCTCCCTCCCTCCCTCTTCTATGATTCTATTTTTTTTTTATAAATCTTTTTTTTTGATTTTTTTATTTTTATTTCATATGCATTGGTGTTTCGCCTGCGTGTATGTCTGTATGAGCTTGTTGGATTTCCCCTGGAAATGGAGCTACAGACAGTTATGAGCTGCCATGTAGGTGCTGGGTCTTGAACCTGGGTCCTTTGGAAGAGCAGCGAGTGCTCTTAACCACTGAGCCTTCTCTGCAGCTTTTTCATAAATCTTTAGCTGCTTCAGGTTTCCTGATACAACCCATGTGCCAGTCTAGTGACAGATGACCAAACAGTGGCACAATGTCCCAAATCCATCAAGAATGAAGCATGAATAAAAGAATAGAACAGAATGAAGCGTGAACAAGAAAAGGGAATTCTAAAGGGACTCTAGGAGGTAGGATTCCTGGAGCAACACCATGCTGGGGATGAAAACAGCAACCCCAATATCCCTGCACCAGGAGAGGCTACCCCAGTTCCAGCAGCAGGCACACAGGTAAACCCTCATTTACACACTTATGTGGTTTTTGTTTCATCCTTTCCTTAGGTCCCGGTGCCTCTGTGCAAGGTGGACACAGAATGAGAATTTCTCTCTTCCCGGTTTTGATCAAAACTAAAAACAAAATAAATTTTCCATATGAGAATCTATATGTCATACACACATAATGTTGTTTTCTCTTTTTTTTTTTTTTTTTTTTTTCAAGGGT